CACTGGCCCAGTCTCCATCCCACCTCCCAACCTGGCCAGCTAGCAAGACTAGGCGTTCCAGTCTCCTCCCATTACATGGCTGATAACACTGACTGGAGGGTGTGGGTGACCGTCTGAAAGATGGAAGGGCCTTCACTGCATTGGTATACGCCTCTCCGTTCTCACCTTCCCAAATAAGCCCAGAAGAGCAAGCGGGAAGAAAAGGGGAGAAATCCGGACCACCAAAACAGGTCCCGTCCTCTTGCCGGTGTAGGGCTGCTTTCTCCCTCCCTTCTTGGGCCGTGAGCAATGTTCCTTCTAAGCAGTGGAGTCTTGTGAGCAAAAATTCTACTTTGTGAGCTCCTGGCATTAAAGTTGTGATCCGGCCATTTGGCTGCTGCATCAATTAGTTTGCTCTGGAGCCCTCCTTCCTGAGCGGAGACAAAAATGTGTGAGCCGGAGGCTAAGAAACTGCGAGCTAGCTCACATGCAGAGGGAACACTGGGACTTGTGAGGGGGGGGGACGACGACATAGAGGTCAGGCTTGGTTCTGGGCCTGCAGGTTGCTGACTAACATCTGCTGCCACTTTGCAGGGAAAGCGTCACATGAAGCCTGACTTTGAAGGAGGTCCCCGGCTTTCAGTGGTGGACAGAAACTGGGAGCGATGCCTCCACCTATAATAATGTTTGGGCTTGTCCCCCGCTTGGTGGCTTAGCACCGTGCAGGCTGATAATATAGAAAGGACGTCCTGTGCTGTCTTGTTTAAAATCCATGTCGCGCCGCCGCCCATGGAGAAGAGCCAGCGTGCCATCTCCCAGCAGCTCTCCGTGTTTGTCAGCTTGTGGGGACCATTTGCTTTAGAACGAGCTGCCTGGCACGCTCGAAAGGGCGGCTACCACCAGTGTTCCCTCTAGGCTGAGTCTGTGTGAGCCAGCTCACAGCCTTTTAGTCCTTGGCTCACACATTTTTGTCTTCGCTCAGGAAGGAGGGCTGCGGCGCAAACTAATTGATGCAGCGGCCGACTCGCTCGCTCACAGCTTTCATGCCAGCAGCTCACAGAGTAGAATTCTTGCTCACAAGACCCCACAGCTTAGAGGGAGCATTGGCCACCACGCTTGTTTTTTGGGGCTGTTCAGAACTAGAGACCTATCCGATTCCAGACAGGTTCCCTTTGAGTTCCTTTTTCTTCCCATTGGTTGTCACTGCCAGTCCCTTTGCTTCACCTCTCTTTGCCACAGGGGGGTGTTCCTTCTAAGCTGTGTTCCCTCTAAGCTGAGTTAGTGTAAGCCAGCTTGCAGTTTTTCAGCCTCTGGCTCACATGTTTTTGGCTTGGCTCAGGAAGGAGGCCTCCAGAGCAGATTAATTTATGCAGAAGTCATAATGCCGGTAGCTCCCAAAGCCGAATTTCTGCTCACGAGACTCCGCAGCTTAGGGGGAGCATTGGTCCCAATCCATTTGGTTGCTCCTGTGCCCTAAGGTCTGCATAATAATATTAATGGAATACATTTAGTGGTGCAGATGGGGATGGTGTGAAGATAAAGATTCCTGAGTTAGATGTGTACGAAGGGGAAGTGGAACCACACTGGGCATTTGTGTGTTGGAGCATCACAGGTGAGAAATCCAAAAGCACCACAGCTGAGATGTATGCTAATCCGACTTGGTTTATGGGACTCGCCCCTCTGTGATTTCTCCAGAACGTCTATTTGCTATTGTCCTTTTGGTTGCCATGCCTCCCTTAACTGCTTATGTGCGAGATACCTTCAAAAGGTTCGCTATGACCCTCCGCGAGCGGCTACAAAGATTCTGAGGCTGGTAAGCTATACGGTGGCCTTGCTTGGTGCGGTCGGGTGCTACTTGAGTGAGTCGGCCCCCAGCCCCAGGACTCGCTCTGTTTGAATGCCTGGACTCACCCCTGTAATAAGGAAAGTAGTAGAAGGTCCTCTGGGCATGTGCAGAGTGCCTTCCTCCTTGCTGCTGAATCTTTGCAACCAGCCCCCTTCCTCCTTCCTAATCCATCAGAGGTTTGGTGGAGAGAGCGTGCTTCCAAGGGGCGGCCCCAAGCTAGGCGGTCTTCAAGAAGTGGTTTGATAGCCTGCCTCCCGGCCCCGGTGTTCCTTGGAGGACTCCCATCCAAATATTCGCTGGGGCCGGCCCTGCTTAACTTTCAAGATCTGACGAGATCGGGCCCACCTGGGCTTTCCAAGTCAGGGCACGAAAAGGAAACCAGTTTTTAATGAGAAACCAACGGTATTTTTTTGTAGGACCTGGTTTTTACATTTCCCCCTCCGAATTGCATACGCCTCTGTCAATTTACGGACGCGTGTGACTGGATGACCGATAACGGTGTGCGTGCTAACGCATCGTGGCTCGATTTGCGGCAGTTTTGCCGATCTGGTGTAGGCGTTGGGAGTGGCAGGCTAGAATCTGGGAGACATGGCTCCTGATCCCTGCTCTGCCACAGAACCTTGCTGGTGATCTCGCTCATCACTTTGAGGGTGAAGCGGGGGAGAGGAGAAACATGTATGCCACCCAGCTTGGTAAAGTCTGGAGACTGGGGCGGGGGGGGGTGTTTGCAGAGTTTGGGGAGGGGAGGGGACTCCGTGGGGACACGGTGCCATAGAGTCCACCCTCCAAAGCAGCCGCTTCCTCCAGGGAACTGAAATCTTGTCTTCCGGAGATCGGTGGAGATTTTGGGAGAACTCTGCACCCCTGCTTGAGCATGGTAACCGCCGTGCCACCCCAAGGTAGGATAAATTACATACTAGGTGAAGAAGAAGAAGAGGTTGGATTTATACCCCGCCCTTCACTACCCAAAGGAATCTTAGAGCCGCTTAAGTATTGGGATATTTGGTTAATATAGCAAAGTTTGCCCAGTCATAGAAGTGTGATACAAGGTATAGATAGGGTATAGATCAGGGGTGGCGAACAAGTTCGACAAAAAGAGCCAAAATTTTGAACTGTGAGAGTCAGAGAGCCACACCACGCAGTGACATGCCAAAGGAACTCCCCACACCCCGACCTACCGGCCGACGCCAGCGCCGAAGACCGGGAGAGGGAGGCAGCGCCCCAACGCCGAACCTCCCCAGAAGACGCCCGGCTGCACGAGACGACCGCAGGACACGCTCTGGCGCGGGAGCGAGAGCCCCGGCCCGAGACGCATGACAGAAGCTGCGACAGGGGAGCAGGGCCGGCGGCGCGGCCTCAACGGCGACCGGATGACAGGGAGCGCGTGTCCGGTGGGCGTCTACCCGGCGGCGCGCGTCTCCTCTGTTAAAGGGGGGGCGGGGCCGGGAGTGGAAGAGTGGTGTAGCCTGGGAGTGGGAGGGGGGAGGAAATAAAAGGCGAGCGACACGGAGCGACTGGCAGAGAGCGAGAGAAGG